TTCAAAAGCATTCAAAGATAGGATTCCTAAAAGATTCTTTATATTTTACATTGCAGTTTCCTTTTAATTTCTGGCTTGATTTCTTGTCGGGATATTGTATCAAATTCTATATGGGTAGTCTAACAGGATCGGGCATCTTCGGTAAGGGAATAGTGCACCAAGTCTGTTTGGGCTTGCAAAAAGGCATGGGTCGATCGGCCACAAGAACGAGCCACTTGCAAGCGTTCCAGCATGTGTTCTGAATTCCAAAATTGCTTGACTGCGGGAGCATTCTCCGCCATGATGCGCAAGCACCCAACGGCCAAGGCGGCCTCGTGAATGGTTGCTAATCCAATACTGGCTTCGACCACACTGGGTGGACGGTTGGCACCTTGCAAGTCTTCGGCCAAAGTCTCTAGCAATTTTGATTCGAGCAAAGGGCAATCGGGCGATTGGAGCAAGTTGCTCAAGAACTGAGCATCTTCCTTGTTTTGGGCGTCCACGACATTGGAGAGTGCGTTAAACAGGACGCGCAAAGCAAAGGCTCGAAGATGGGTCTCATGTTGCTTTTCGTTTTGGCAAAAGTTGTCATTCGTCAGGCGGGGAGAAAGAGAGCGCTTCAGAGTTGGCTTGAGCAAAGCAAAGGATGTCGATTTGGGTTCGTCGGCCTCCATGGGTTCCGTCTCGTCTTGCTCGGCAATGATGTATGGGTACAGCCATGACTCGGACAGCAAAATCTTGCTCGTTTCCAAGGCGTGGGAGTAACCGCACACCGTGGGGGTAGTCAATTGAATCAATCGTTCCATGGCCAATTGTTGGCATTCCAATCGATCCTTTCTGAGTTGTTCCTGGATCTTTTCCAAAGTAACTTTGGCAGATACCACATCGGATGTAGAGGCTGCCGGTTTGCGAGACAGCGTTGGTGGGCGTGCGGTCAATGACGGCATGTGGGTGTATTCCATGGCATTCGTTTGATGTGGCTTGCGATGGTCCGCTCCCGAGGATTCTCCACGAGCAGCTTGCAAAATGGCCGTACAGACTTGATGAAAGCTAATGGTATTGCCACTTCGTCTCTGAATTTCCACCACCACACCATGGCTGTAATCCACAGTGGGCGTAATCTTGCCCTTCCATAGCTGAATCTCAAAGTGACACCGATCCACCGTCATGGCATTGGCAGTAATCTGAAAAGAATAAAAAGAAAAGAATGAGTCAGAACCTGATACAAGCAACCATCTTATACATGAAATCATCATTCAATTCATGAAAACTTACAGACTCATTGTCATATTCCACAGCCACACTATGTTGTCTCAAACATTCCGCAATGCGAAAGGCCACCACGGAAGCAGTGGTCCCTGGAACAAAGGCAGTGCAATTGGGATCCATTGGAGGATAGTACTTGGGGATATGCTTCAAGCTGTGATCCTTGACGGCCCATGGAGTTCTGGGTCTTGGCGGCATTGCAATACTGCTGCTGCTATTTGAGATTAGCAGTGATTGTGGCAGTTGGTTTGCCGACAGTGATTCTGGAGCTGGTGGCAATGATGATTCTGATTCTGATCGAGAATTGTTGTTGGAACTGAAAAAAGACATGTTGTTCTTGTTGTTGTTTGTAAAATGGGTTTGTCTGTAAATTGTTTGTGGGTTGTCAATGAGTGTGAGAGGACGTGTAGCGTGTCTGATATCAGTCCAAAGTACGACTTGGGAAAATTAATCGGGGTATCGGTTGAAAAGAAAGCGATACCGATTTTGTGGAGGGAGCTGCACTGTAGTCAGCAGTCCCACCTACATTTGTGTGTGCTGTAAACTTACTTCGCATTAAATGAATGGGTATCGTTGAACTAAAACTCACTCGTGGGAATAATCACGGAAGGAGCACGAATAAATATGTGATTGGGTTTTTGTGATGATAGGTCGGTGTCAATAGTCCCGATTAGCGATGGGAGTTGTTGAGTCGTATTTGATTCCGAGAGCGTGACCAGTTTCGGTTCGAAACAAGGAACGCCCAACTCCCGCCCAAAATAGCTGCGTTGGCGGCAAAGCGAAGAATGATAACGCCAAAAATCTAGCCGTTA